GGGGGGGGGGGGGGGGGTGTCCTCAGCCGACTATGTCTCTTGCAGTCTGGGACCCTCGGGGGATGTCACTGCTGGCTTAGGCCCACTCCCTGGGGGATTGGGCCTAAGCTGGTAGTCAGACATCCCTCTGGCAGCCCGGGAGCCCTTGGGGGATGTCCACTTGCCAGCGGGAAGCAGGCCTAAGCTGCAGTTGGACATCCTTAGCGCTGCTGAGACAGGAGAAGCTCCCACCATCACCGCTGTGCTGGCAGCCGTCAGCCTGGCTTGTGGCTGAGCAGAGCTCCCCCTGTGGGAGCGCACTGACCACCAGGGGGCAGCTCCTGCATTGAGCATCTGACCCCTGGTGGTCAGTGTGTGTCATAATGACCAGCCATTCCCAGTTGTTCTGCTGTTAGGGTCAATTTGCATATTATCCTTTTATTATATAGGATAGAGGTCTGGTGCATGGGTGGGGCTGGCTGGTTTACCCTGAAGGGTGTCCTGGATCAGGGTGGGGGTCCCGATGGGGTGCCTGGTCAGCCTGGGTGAGGGGCTGATGTCTGTTTGCAGGCTGGTCAAGCCCCACAGTTGGGACCCTCACCCATGGGGGTGTGTCCAGCCTGGGTGAGGGGCTGAGGGCCATTTTCAGGCTGCTCACACACCCTTCAGGGTGGGGGTCCCCACTAGGGTGCCTGGCCAGCCTCGGTGAGGGGCTGATGGCTGTTTTCAGGCTGCCCACAGCCTCTTCAGGGTGGGGGTCCCCACTGGGGTTCCTGGCCAGGCTGAGTGAGGGGCTGATGGCTGTTTTCAGGCTGGCCACGGCCGCGGGCTGGAAGCAGGTATCTGGGATTTATTTATCTTCTATAATTGAAACTTTGTAGCCTTGAGCAGGGCAGGGCAGGCGGGAAGCTTGGCTTCCTCCATCATCAGGGGCAACCTAAGCCTCCTGCTCCCGCCACCATCTTAGTTGGGTTAATTTGCATATTTGCTTCTGATTGGCTGGTGGGTGTAGCAGGGATATGGTCAATTTGCATGTTTCCCTTTTATTAGATTAGATGGACTTCACCAATAAGGATCAGCGGTAGTTTAATTTTTCTACCAAAATGGTTTTTTAAAAAATTTTGAATTTTAAGGTCTAAACTTCAATGTGGTCATAATGCTGAATAGATAAAATGCTGAACTGAAGTATGTTTCAAGAGTGGTTACAGGAAAGAGTGGCGAAAGGAAAGTTTTAGAGGCTTCACACAATTATTTTTAGTTTAATTTCCTCAGTATTTCTAAATAACCAGATTTCATGCTACTGATTCTTGGGCCAAAACTTTGAAAGCAAATGTTTATATTTAATTAGCAAAAGTTTGTTTTGAATTTTTGAGCACAAATGCAGGCTCTCCTCCCAGAAAAAGTCCTCTATCACTACAGAATTTAATTAAAAGGTACTTCAATTTTCAGGTAAAAGAAATACTTACCTAATTGTACTTATATCTGGAATCTGTACTCCTACTTTCCATGTATTTGTAGACATGCTTTCACATACTAGCTACTGCCAATTTTAATTTCCGAAGTTTTGCAGTATTTGCTTTCAAAAGTATTTTCTACACTTTATTAACTTTAATTTTAGACTAGCTTTCAAGCCTCAAACCCTCTAAAACAGGAAATGTCAGTTCTTGCTCATAGTTTCTTATAAGAGGTTTTTTGCCAAATTCAGAAATTTAGAGATAAATTAACTGCTTTAGGTCATAAGTAACAATTTTGGCAGGGGGAGCACATTTATAAATATCAAGTGACTATTACATACCTATACTTGTGAGCTTGACTAAGCGTAATCTAATGTCAGAATTTGGCTACAAAATGGTACTTTTTGGATCAATACTCATATCCCCTTTTTGGTAATCAAGATTTCTTTGTTTCTTTAAAAAGCTTTTAGCTATTCTTTAATTTAAATTGGTGAGAGTTCGAATTGGCTGATTAACTCAAACCTCCCAATTAAAATAGTGAAGCTTGGTAGTTACACATTTATTCAAGAATTTCAAGCTTTGAGATACTGTGGGGTTCTTTAGCCTCTTTTGATCTCGCATAATAAATTGAATATAACAGACATTTTAGGCTTCTCTTCACTTTTTTTTTTTTAAAATCCCACTGCCAGATACTCATTTAACAAGCTCTTCCTGCCTGCAGACCAGTCCAATTAGTTTTCTATGCCAATCACATAACTTTTCAGTTTTATCCCTTCTATCCCACTATTCTTCTGTATGTGGTGGCAACTCCTCTCTTGGTATTTCTCCACTGTCCATGATTGGCTTCATTTCCCTCTTGTTCTGATGTAATAACCACCATTAGATCGTAGTGCCAATTTATCCAGTGCCCTGTATTATCAAAGTGATGGCCCTCTCCATTACTGATGATCAAAAGTAGACCATAATCTGTTTGTTTGCTAGGACTTCTCATAGTATTTTATTTTGACTAAACAAATTGCCCAGGGTGTATCATTCTCTTGCTGGCTTTAAAGACATACTTCTTAATTTTAAATATAACATGACACAAAATGCTAGTAAAGATTAATAACTAATCTCAATTAAAAATAAACATTTTATAAACATTTTCTAGTAGAGTTATCTTTAAGGACTTCCAAATATCCTTCAGTAAGATGGTTTAATTCAAAATAAAAAATTAAGCAAATTTCCAGATTATAAGAATTTAACCTGATATTAAACTGACAGAATAGGATTTTTGATCAATTTTTAGTAGGCAGTTGAAATGACCTAAAGTCATCTGGATGAATGTTGTTTTTAGCGAACTACTTTTTATGAAGTGGAGTCACTTTCAACAGATAGAGGTTAAGCAAAAAAAAAAAAAAAAAAAAAAAAAAAAAGTCATCATTAAAAAAAAATTATTATGAAAGACTTTGAGTCAAACTGACAACATATGCCAGGGAGCAAGATGTCAAATGTTCCTGAAACATTATCATTTTTAACAGCCCATAAAAATTCTATAATTTGAGATACTTCTTATGCAAGATAAAAATGTGTTCATAAATGAAAGCACTTTAAAAAATAAAATTGCTAGACAAATATGAAGCACTATTATCCACAATAAGAAATAAGTTTTAAACAGTACAGCCATTTTACATTTTGGCTAAAGAAAATAAAGGCTTATATGAAAAGAAAAGTATACTGAGAAAGGTATCATTTTTAAACATGAAAGGACAAATCAGAAGAAAATTTCAAATTCAGATTTTTGAAACTTTTAATTTATATTTTGGTCTTACAAATAATCATCTTTAAATGACTTTTCTGTAAGAATGTAAAGCACAAGAATTTGCTAAATATCAGATCCACACAAATCCTGAAAAAGGTTTTCTGTGTAGTCTTCATTAACGCAAATCTGTGAATATTTCATCCTTACAGTAGATCTTGAATCTGTTTCACAATAACAAAGCCATAAAGTTTTTATGCAGTTCATTCATTATATACTATAGCGATTCTATTAAAAGGAAAGCTGGGGAATACAAAAATATGAGAAAATCTGAGGATCAAGCAACCTGTTGAGGCTCGGTCTATCTTATTTGCTTTGTAGCTTATTGTCATTACTTTCAAAGAGCACACAGCATATGAGGCACAGTAGTAATCATCTCCCTTATTAACCTCCCTAATTTAAAAATCTGTAGTTTGTAAAACTGGACCAATTATCACAAACTATCATTTGCATAATTAACCACAAGTCTATTACAAAGCACTCTGTTAGTGGTACCAACAAATGTAGGAGGCTAGAAATTTATAAAACATGAATTTGTGAAACTTGCCAAGTCCTTAGATATCCTGTGCTGTGCTGCCACTTCAACTTTTAATTAGATGTTTACTGCCTCACAGTAAAAGACTGATCAAAGGATGGAAGCAAAGCTAAATTATTTTCTAGGTATTCTAACATTTGATAAGGTCACAAAAGCATAGGACACAATTTAATCAAAATTTATATGCGTTCCAACTTTTCACTCAGAAATTCTTCGACACTGTCTGTGTTCCATTTGAGGATGCTTAGTTCTTCAGCAATGTTCCCATTGTCATCCAAAAGCTTTAGTACAGGGTCTGAACCACGAACATACTACAAAAAAAGAGGGATATCATCATTTTACCTGCTTAGAAGGTTTTCTTTGCCTCAACTAAAATCAAAATCAATGGAATACAGCTTAACTGAATTTAATAACAATACAAAAAAGCTTTAGACATATCACAACAGGATTCAAAGGAAATCTTTTGGGAAAGAATTAAATAAAATTTCATAAAAAAGGGCAATCTAAAAACTTATAGTTTATCTCTAAAGAGAAAAATTCTTGTTAGTATCAACTTGGTTTATTTGGGATTTAAGCTTATTATTGACTATAACAAATATTTATTGCATATATGATATTCTCTCACTCTCAAAAGAGTTTAAAATCTAATGGGGGAAGCAGATAAGTTAATAATTAACGAGAGAGAATGACTATAACAGCAATGCTAAAATAGGCTGTGCATACAAATTATCAGATAGAACTCTGCATTGGACTTTGAATTTTTTTTTGGTTTAAGAAACCTAACAATTTTATTGTAATTAGTTTATAATTAAGTTCAATTTCTGAAACTTCCAACCCACTAGTTAGATCCAATATTTTGCCAAAGACCTGTGAGAAATCCTTATTCTGGTTAAATGTGATAACAAACATGACCCCAATCTTCAAAAAAGAAATAAGTTAATGCTGGAAAAAAGGGATTCCATTAAAATCACCTTACCTTGGGAAGTGGGGAGGACAGGAAGAGATTAATATGCACAGCTCATAGACACAGACAATAATGTGGTGGAGGCTTAGGGTGGGGTGGGGACTGGGTGGAAGAGGGCAAAGTGGGGAAAATGGGGGACATCTGTAATATTCTCAACAATAAATGAATAAATAAAAAGAAAGAAAAAATCACCTTACCTTGATTTGCAGTCCTCTGAATAGTTTGGGTTTATCACTTCTGACAAAAGCTTAAGAGAAAAGAAAAATATTGAAATTATTCATTTCTAAATCCAAGCAAGATACAAAGATCAAAACAAAAAGTAGAAATAAACTCAACAAGTGAAACATTAGATCCTATATGAAAAAACTAAGGTGATTCAAACAGACATAAAAATATAAAGACATATCATACACTTCAATGGGAAAAGTGCTCTTATAAATTATTAAGAAAATGTTTTAAGGTGTTAATTGTTTTAAATTAATTAAAACCCCATTTTCCAATGGGATTCTGAGCCCTTGACAAAATGATAGGTCAGCTAGAAGAGTAAATGTGTGAGGATAGTCACAGTTTAGAAAAAATATGGAATGAAAATTTGTTCAATTGCTTTTTAATGTAGGATACTGATACCAGAATAACAAATCTAGAGATACAAATATCTGTAGGAATTTTTTAATACAGTTAAACTATCAAATCAGAGAGAGGGAGGCAGGGAGGGAGACACCAATTATAGGTGTTTGCGTCTGGGGTATGTGAGTGAATTAGTCAATACATACTTTTAAGAAAACTGCCAAATTATTTGAGGGGAAAAAAACATAGAAAAATAGTCGGGTGTCTACATCATATCTTATATCTAAATAAATTTAGATGGATTAATGTTTTAAATTTACTCAACAAATATTTATGGAATACCTACTGCATGTTACATAACAGAGATAAAGCTATATAAAATAGACATCATTTCTGATCTTAAGGAGTTTACATTCTAAAGGGAAAGAAAGAAGCTGAACAAGTAAGTAATAACAAATACATTTAGTTAAAAAAAAGAGAGAGAGGTTAAGAATACTACCACAGAATTTAATACAGACAACTTGAATATGGAATACAAAATTCTTCTCCTAAGGATGACATTAAAAGAGATGCTCTATAGATATGCCTACATAAAAGTGGAAATTTCAAGACAGCAAAACAACACCATTAACAAAATAAAAAGTGAAACAACACATGGTAGAAAAATCATCTCTAACATATAATTTATAAAAGTGCTGTTGTAAATTATTTAAAAAAATACTAGGCAGAGAAATGAACTAAGGACAGGAATATGTCGTGTGCAAATAGGTAGATGGTCAACAAACATTTGAAATAAATGTCCAGCCTAATAATCAAATAAGTGTCAAATAAAACAATGAGATATCTTCATTCAGAGCGACAAAAATGAAAAAGAAAATTTAAGGTTAGAGAGAAGAATTTTGCTGGGGATTAGCTGTGGGAAAAATATGAATGGACACATCCTTCCTGAAAGGTATTTAGCCAAATGAATTAAAAGTCTTAAAATGTACATACCCTTTAAATCTGCAAGACCCCTTCTAGGAATTTCTTTACTCTAAAGATATAATTACATGATGATGCAAAGATATGTTATAAAGCCTAAGCGACCAGCCGACCGGCCGGTAGCTATGACGTGCACGCATCACTGGGGGGCAGACACACAATGCAGGAGCTCCCTCCTGGTGGTCAGTGTGCTCCCACAGCAGGAGTGCCGCTCAGCTAACAGACGGGGCCAGACATCAGGCTGACGAGTGCTGCTGTGGCGGCGCGAGCCTCTTCCGTGGACACTCCCCCTGCGTGCCCAAGAGTGGCCACCGCGGCAGGTGCAACAGGGCCAGGATGAGCAGGAGCGACATGGCGCTCAGCCCGGCCTCGGGCTCCTCCCTGGCCGCCTGCCGCTTCCTTCACTAATTCGTGCTGTGTGGGATTGACAGAACAGCGGGCTGGAGCCTGACAAGCTAGCGGGTAAGGCCGGGCTGTGGCAATGCAGATCCTGTAGGCCAGGCTGAGGGACCCCACTGGTGCATGGATTGCACTGGGCCTCTAGCGTTACATAAACTCCTGCTGAGTCTGGAAATTTGGAAATAATCTAAATGTGTAAAGGCTATTGGTTAACTAAATTAATATGAACCACACTATCAAATGCATCAAATTATTAAAAATTACATCAATCTACTAGTGGCCTGGTGCATGAATTTGTGCACATTGAAAGGAAATTAATTAGAAGAAATATTTTAATATTGCTATTTGCCCTTTCTCTGTAATAGAGTGTCAACCAAATTCACGACCGACAATGACAGACGGAAACACATGTGTGAGATTGGCGCCAGCGAGAGCTTTATATGTATCGCGCATGTGCGAGTCAACTTAGCCTTTTATATATATAGAATAAACTTGCTTAATTAGACCTGCTTTCTGATGTAGCTAAACTTTTTCCAACCCAGTGAAGCACCCTAACTTCTCTTTCCGGTAATTGTCAGTAACACAGCAGTAAATATCAACACGAAGCAGATTATTACTGTCGATCACACAGGGAGAACAAAGGGTAAAATATTTAACTGCAGCAGTGTTTGACTCTATTCTGAGCAGTGAGAAAAGCTTAAGTCATTTTCAAGGTCCACCATTTCTTACTTCTTTTCAGTCAAGTTTTTAAGCTTTCTAAATCTCCGTTTTCCAGCTAATGAAAAGAAAATAGGATTCCACTGAGTCTCCTATCTACCTACTCAGGACTTCTGTGATGATCAAATGAGATGAGGCATGGGAAAATGCTTCACAGACATTTGGTTACAGTGTAAAATGTTTGTACCTGGTTATAAAGCAAGTTGTGTTCGTGGGCTGAAGAAATTCTAAGGAGGCTAGTCGCTATGGAGAGGAAGCCGGGCATTGCTACACAACATTATTACCTGGACGGACACTTAGCATATTAGCCTTCTATATATATACATACATACTAGTGATATAGAAGGAAACACAAATATAAAAAGCAGATTATAGATCAATTTGTTTCCTATGGTTGTTTAAAAAGATGAATATTATTTTTATACATTTATGTTCATATTTATATATAGTTATCTATAAATATAGTCAGAGGGATAGTGAAAATGCAACATTTATAAAAGGAAAAAAGCCCAGAAGCACTAAGCAAAATCTTTATAAAAATTAAGTGAGAAAATATAAAATACTTAGCACAATAAATATAACAAAAAATGCTTACTATTATTTTAATGGGGGGGGGTCATATCTAAAATACACGGTTTGGGGAAGCTTTAAATGGATAATTTTCCTTTTTGGGTTTTTGTTCATCTACATTTTACCAATATTTTAAGTAATGATTATGTCTAATAGTCTAAGTTAAAAAATTTAGAATAATCTTTCTAAAATAAAAACAAATGAGATGTTTCACTTAGATATCTGATAGTTCATAATACCAGTTCTATTACCATTTACATCATTCTTTCAGAACTTATTTTTTAAACTTAGAATTAACTAGCAATAGCATTATATACATGTTCCATTATGAAAGTTTTTATATACTTGCTTTTAGAACACACAAAGATTAATAAATGGGTTTTCTTTTTTTTTTAAGGTTTTGAGGACTTGTGGGAATATAGTTTATATCCTATCTAAATTTCCCCTACAAAATTTAGTTCAAAATAAAACTGATTATGTTATCCTAGCTTATTATAATACCTAATTTTATCCTTTAGGATTTGTCCAAATACTCTGCAGACTCCTGAATCCACAAGCAAAACTGACATTATGAAATGCTATTGCATTTTCATTATCCCTCTGACTATATGCACAGCTGTGCAAAACACCATTAGACCCACAGTATGTTCCCTACTATATAAGAAACCTCTCTGGAGAAAAGGATTATTCTTATATCTGCTGTATCCATCTATAACAGAGCCTTACACATGTAATAACTTTCATTCATTGAATAGATTTTTAACAGGCTGAAATGCATGAATAAATTTAAAAGAAATATTAAGAAGAGTCACTAAATGACTATTTTCATCAGTTCTCTTCTCTGTTCTCTAAGCATAGATTCATAAGCCTTCTAATTTTGAATGAAGAGAAGATTTGCTGTAGTGGCAAATCACATTTTACAGGCAGTAAATTAACCATTTAACAGATATTTGAGTACTTATTACATACACATGGCACTAGGTGGTGAACGGGGCTCAAATTTAAAAACAGAACCTAGCTGCCATTTCTAAACAAGCCTCTCATGCAAATCAGGCTTAAGGGAGAAGCCTGCACTAAGCTGCCTGCCTGAACTGCCTGCTTGCAGTTTTCCGGTCAACTGAGCCAACCCTTCTAAAGGAGTTCCTGTAATCCTATTTTAACCAATAGGACTGAGACTTTCCCTGTCCAATCAGAGCTATTCAGATATAGCTCCATCAGCATCTTCACTGACCAGAGTGGCTCCATTCTGACCAACCAGCACAGTGCCTTTTGGACCAATCAAACGTGAGGACTTAGAGTCCTCATTTGCATGAATATGGACCAATCAGGCACCAGAGGCAGGCACTTCTCTCCCTATAAGTCAGCTCCCCTTTGGCTCAGAGAACAAAGACTATATCCTTGGATGAGCTGAAACACTAAAGACCTTTTGCTGGAGCAGAGCAGATAGAGTGGAGTGGACCAGAGAAGGGCAGAGTGGAGCAGAGCGGTCTGTATCACAATTGAGTTGTTTGCTCTGAACAAAGTTTTCTTCTTCACTGCACCCCAAATTGGGATTCCTGTTGGCACTGTACTGGTGGTACCAACAACCATACTGATTGATACCTCAGAAAAGTTGTTTCATAAAACTGATTTTCAAGTGACACAGGAACAGAATAGAAAAAGCCTTAGCCCAAGTATTTTTGGAACTGCAAAGCTCCATTATGGTTTGCTTATTCAACCAAAAGAATAAATACACTTTTATAATTATCCTTTCATATATTTCTCCTTAAAATTTCCTGCGGACACATACAGCATGTATCACTTCGTCTCTTCTGCACCTCAGGTTTTATGGTAATTAATTCTATTCTCGACAATTTGTCATTTAGGACAGGTCTAGTCTCACTAATGTAATTGTTCCTTAGGAGTTTTACATAAATCAATTTACATTTAAAATATACTCCAATGAAATGCTATTTAAAGGGATGACATTTACATCTGGTAAGAAAAAAGTTCTTGTAAAATTTATACTTCGTAAACGAAAGACTCCTTTGAAAAAAATAACCACGTCATCATGTCTTGTATTTAAATCTAAATTTCATATATTATGCTTGCTTAAAGTAACCTGGTATTCAACAATTACTATACAACTCTACCTTTATGAAAAAAATTGTGGAAGAAATTCACAAGCTATTGAGAAAGGATCATCCTAAAAGTTATTTGTGAGAATCTATACTAATAAAAGCCTAGGTGGCCCTTGTGCCCTCGTGTGACACCCCCACGTCATCACAAGATGGCCAGCAGGGGAGGGCAGTTGTGGGCGATCAGGCTGGCAGGGGAGGGCAGTTGGGGGGCGATCGGGCCAGCAGGGGAGGGCAGTTGGGACCAACCAGGCCTGCAGGGGAGGGCAGTTGGGGGCGATCATGCCAGCAGGGGAGCTGTTAGGGGGCGATCAGGCAGGCAGGCAGGCGAGTGGTTAGGAGCCAGCAGTCCTGGATTGTGAGAGGGATGTCCGACTGCCGGACATCCCCCGAGGGGGTCCCCTGATTGGAGAGGGTGCAGGCTGGGCTGAGGGACCACCCACCAACCCCCCCCCCCCCCCCCCCGCCGCACGAATTTTGTGCACTGGGCCTCTAGTATTTAATAAAATTATTCTTGTGAAATGCTGTTTTTAAATTATTAAACTGAGAATTTACTAGAGTTAATTTTACATACCTTGGACTTGTGGGAACCTCCCCAATTTTCATCCACAGACTTCAAGAATAGCTCCTGCATATAGCTGCAAAAGAAAAAAATTTTTTTTAAAAACTGCTATAAATTTTAAAATGTAGTTCTAAAATAAATATAACAGTTAAGCAGATATATAGATCATACAAATGTTAAAGTTGGATAGAACTATCTAGTTCCAGTTGAACAGAAAAGGAAACAGAGGCCCAAGATATTAAATGGTAGTAGTTTAAGTTCTACTTGGAGTATTATAAACATAGCCAAAAAGAGAAGAAGATATGGAGACTTGACAATGAATTTGAATAGTAAAATGTCCTAGAAAGTTCTTCACATAATCTCAAAAGATTTCCTACAGTTTTTTAGGATGCTAAATTGAACATAGGCATGTATCCATCTATCCACATAAATACTTAATGAGAATACATTGTGGTTGCTTTTAAAATTAAGTGATCATTGTGTTAAATTTAAATAAAACAAAAACACATACCTTTAAAATGTAAATACAGTATGTTCTATGTAAAGATACTATAGGAAAATCAGTAAAATCTCATTATAAAAAAATGTAAATATTTTCCCTTCAGGAATTTAAGTTGACATAAATTCAGTGGTAAATATTGCAGAAAGCTATAGAACCTGCACTCTCTTTATAGTAAAAGCTCATTATAAAAAGCTCACACACAAATATTTTATTGCAATTAACTCAGTTGAAATGGATTCAATGATAAACATCATTTATTTATTTATTTTTATTTTTGTAGCCGTAGAGCTTGACCATTCTTTGTAGGGACTTGGGAATGCTGTGATTCTGAGAGAAGGCAGGCAGTGATAAGAAAATGCTATAATCAGCATTATGCTAAGTGAAATAAGCCAGTCAGTGAAAGATAAATATCACATGATCTCACTTATATGTGGGATATAATGATCAACATAATTTGATGAACAAGAATAGATCCAGAGACAAATGGTAGGGGAGGGAGGGGGGTTAGAGAGCAACCAAAGGACTTGTATGCATGCACATTAGCATAACCAATGGACACAGACACTGGGGGGGGGGGGGGGGGCGGGGGCTTGCCTGGGGTGGGAATGGCTGGGGGGCGGGGTGGGATCAATTGGGTAAAAAGGAGACATGTAAAACTTTAGACCAGTGGTCGGCAAACCATGGCTGGAGAGCCACATGTGGCTCTTTGGCCCCTGAGTGTGGCTCTTCCACAAAATACCACGTGCGGGTGCGCACGTACAGTGCGATCGAAACTTCGTGGCCCATGCGCAGAAGTCGGTTTTTGGCCTGGGTGAGTCTATTTTGAAGAAGTGAGGGTATGTTCGCTGAGGCTGACCCCTCAGATTGAGGACGTTTTTAGCAAAGGCCAGCTTAGGAGTACCCTAATTAAGTTAATAAACAATGTACCTACCTATATAGTTTAAGTTTAAAAATTTGGCTCTCAAAAGAAATTTCAATCGTACTGTTGATATTTGGCTCTGTTGACTAATGAGTTTGCTGACCACTGCTTTAGACAATAAAAAAAAAGGAAACGCTATAATCATTTTATGTTTTCTTAGCATTTTAGACTTTTTTTTTAATTGTACACTCATGAGCTAAAGATGGATTTTACCTTTTAAATTCTAAAATAGCATGAATCATGTAAACTTTGCATGGTTATTTTTGGTACTTTGAAAAATATAGAAAAGCAGAGTAGAAATTTAAAAATTATGCTAATTCTACCTACCAGAAATATAGTGGCTTTTCCACATTTTGGTGTTTCTGGGCTATATCAGTGGTTCTTAAGATTTTTAAGGGTCTAGCCCTAGCCGGTTTGGCTCAGTGGATAGAGCGTCGGCCTGCAGACTAGAGGGTCCCAGGTTCGATTCTGGCCAAGGGCACATGCCTGGGTTGCGGGCTCGATTCCCAGTAGGGGGCATGCAGGGGGCAGCCGATCAATGATTCTCTCTCATCATTGATGTTTCTATCTCTCTCTCCCTCTTCCTTCCTCTCTGAAATCAATAAGGAAATATATTTAAAAAATTTTTTTAAAAAAAGATTTTTAAGGGTCTAAAATACTTTTGAGAATCTGATTAAATTATGTTTTAAATTCATGCTATTCATGGACTCTCTGGAATCACTGATGGATCTCAGATTAAAAACTCTGAGGATCTCTAAGATTCTTTGTAGCAGCAAAAATTTAAGATTAGGCTGACCGAATTCTATAAAATAAGTTGCTTTTGAGTAAGATTTGGTGAATCTTGATTAGACAAGACTCCCCACCCACAAATATCTTTAAAAATGTCAGGCCATATTACCAAAAAGTTCATAAGAAGATGTTCAACTAATCACTAATCATTAGAGAAATGCAGATCAAAATCACAATGAGATACCACATACTATATGGGTGATTCCACTTCTATGAGGTACTTAGTCAAATTCAGAGACAGAAAGTAGAACAGTGGTTGCCAGGGACTGAGGGAGGAAAGAACAAAGTGGAGGGGGTTACTGTTTGATGAGTATAGAGTTTCAGTTTGGGAAGATGAAAAAGTCCTGTTGATAGATGGTGAAGATATTGCACAACAATGCCAATGTACTTAATGTCACTGAATTGTACACTTAAAAATGGTGAATTTTGTTGTGTGTCCTAGTATTTTATCTGAATTTATTTAGGAAAATAAAAAAATAAGCCATTTTAAAATTTGGTTATTAGATTTATCTTTTATTTGCAAGTTTGTGACCTCTTGTAATCTCTAGTGGAGATGCCATTACCTTATATAACAGCATTTCTCTACACCACTATTTCCCAATATTCTTCATATCATCACACGGGAAAATGGCAACAACCTTATGGAGATTGGGATAAAAGGAGGAGGCTGTTATAGCTGGGGTTTCTGCTCACTTAGTTCCTCCCCATTTGGTTGTCTACGGACTGAAGGACTCAATATCCTAGCATACCTGTAACCCATTCATGGAAAGCACTTCTCTGCGTCATAAAATACCAACTGATTAATTACAAATACTAGACATACAATCTCTAATGAATAGCAGCTCAGATGTGACCTTCTGGAAAATTATCATTGGTCTTCTATCTCAATTGGGGACTTTTCATATAGTTCTTGTTCTCATCATAATGAACTATAAATAGTCTATTACTTCACTGTGGACAGGAAATGTCTTATTTATCATAATTCCCCCAGACCTGGACACAAAGCTGCTCAATGTATGTGTGCTGAATGGAATTATTCATATAACAGAATTAAACGTTTCTTTTTTCATCATGTAACTTTCAAAATATTTCAAGTTCCTTTGACACACTTTGTAGACTATGCTTAGTTACAGTCTAGGATAAACAAAAAGAAAATGTAACTCAAAGCTGCATAACATTATTCAAGTCAAGTACTAAAAAATTTAATTTGTGATGCTAAGTTGGCATTTTACTTATGAATTTGTAGTGTTCATAGGAAAACATTTGTTTTTCAGAATGAATAAATAAATTAACTACAAATTATGGTAAATTTTCAATGCCCTATAAAGTACTCATAGGCATCTTTGACATCACACAAATTCAAACAAAAGAAAATACAAGCTATGTATAATAGGAATTCTCAAGGGCATAAAGTATGAAAGGAGTATAAAAGGTTAAAACTTTCAATTCCTTGACTTCCACCCTTATCATTTTTACCTGTTTTGAAAAGAAAAAAAAAAACTTTAGAGAGGGAGAGGGAGGCTGGGAGGAGGAGAGAAAAACATCGATATGAGAGAGATACATCGACTGGTTGCCTCTCATACATGTCCCGACTGGGGATTAAACCCAAAACCTAGGAATGTGCCCTGACTGGGAACTAAACCTGAGACCTTCCAGTGCATGGGACAACACCCAACTAACTGAGCCATACCAGCCACAGTTCATTTTTACCTTTTTAAGTAACATCACTGGGATACAAAAATGCTTACCTTCAAACATTTATGCAAAAATACCAACAGAAGATAAATCAAATCAAGTTATAAAACCCTTATATAGAAAGCTTATATTTTTTATAGCAAGTTGGTGGGCCTCTTTTCTATATGCATTAGAGAAGCCTTATTTGTATAGAAAATCTAACCCTAGGCACTATAGGTTATTAGTTCATTGGGCTCTATAGTACTAGCCAAATAATTTAATGGAACTACACAGACACCTTTAGAAAAATACAAAAATGATACCCAAGTCACAATTTTTCCTTTTGGAGTCTATATCTATTTCCATATTACTTGCAATTGCTAGGTTTTCCTGAACTAATAGAATCCTCTAGGTTGTAAGTAGAAATATCTAACTATTTCAGCTCTATGATTCATTTATCTAATTTGTAACAGGATTTTTATATGTATTAATTTCCACTCATTTAAAAATAAGTGATTTTTATTATTCTTAAACTAATTTTCAGTTTTGTGGTTAGCTAATTTTTCCCCAATTTAAATATACTTTAAGTACAATAAAGATTTATTTGTATGTATATCAATTTTAGATTCTGTACATTTCATGTTTTCATTGTAGAAAGACTTTCCTCATAAATTACTATTGGAATATAATAACTCCTCCTCCAGTAAGAGCTTATAATGAAGTTTTCATGTACAGGAAAAAACCAAGAAAATCTTTATTTTGTGGTGGTAACTTTGCTGTAAGTAAAGTCTAACTGTGCTGCTACAAAATAGTTCAGATTAACAGCAAGACAAAAAAATGGCCTATGCTATTTCTCATATTGCTAGATTCCAAAATAAGTTAATTCACAACACTAAACAAAGGGAACACTTGTGAATTATGTACATTTCCTGAATTAATTTTTACTGCCGCCATCACACCGCCAACACAAATCTATATAACTGGTCCAAGTAAGAAATATTCTACTACTTTCCAACACTAAGCATCTAACGACCAGTTGGCCGTTCAACCAATCAAAGCGTAATATGCTAATGATATGCTAAGGCTGCTCAACCCCTTGCTATGACGTGCACTGACCACCAGGGGGCAGACAATTGACTGGTCGACCAGTTGCTCTGACATGCACTGACCACCAGGGGGCAGACTTTCTGAC